ACACACACACACACACACACACACACACATACACACAAGATAGCCAAAATAACTGTACTACTCATTTCTATTGGTTTACTGAAGGGAACAGTTACTGCTTAATTGTTTGATCAATCTTGCATGCCTATATCTGGTAATCTGAACAACTACTTTGAAGATAACAATATGAAATATAACAACCATTATTAATCTCCTATCATCTGGTTTTGAAATTCTGTATTGTTTTTAATGTTTTTTTAAATTTCTTTATTCCCTTTAAAATAAAAAATAAAAGTAAAGAATTCCCAGTCAGCTTCACAAACGTTCATTCTTGCTCCCCGAGAAACTGCTTTCTTGACCTGTTGGCATATGCCCCCTAGGCCTTGGAAGCTTGCAAAGACGCTGGCTTGGTGAAATCTCTTGGAGTCTCTAATTTTAACCGCAGGCAGCTGGAGAGCATCCTGAACAAACCAGGACTCAAATACAAGCCGGTCTCCAACCAGGTACAGATGAACAGCTCCCCCAGGTGGGGAACAGGACCCGATATAATATTTGAATAACAAAAAGAGCCTGGACTTTCTTTCAGGAAGTCTTCTGGTTGCTCAGCATAAGTAGCATAATACCCTGGGTCAGTCTTTTAACTTCTCTCAATTTACATCCTTAAGGAAAAATATTTGAAACTTCAAATCCAAGCAAGAATTTTTCTGAAGAAGAAAAGCAATGAAGGGGAATATCAGTATCTGCTTAGATATTGATACGGCATAGACTATTTAAAATAAAGTAAGACCTGACAGGCTGAGGCAAGACTTTGTAAAAAAATTAATTAAAATTAAAAGGCCTAGGTTGTAGCTCAGTGCTGTCTGGGTTCAATCCCCAGTACTACAATCAATTAATCAATGAAATTAAATTAAATAATGGAAGTGCAAGAACCAACATACAAATAAATTGAAGATGACAAGTGTTTAGAAGCAGGCCACAGTATAGTAAAAACTTACCATAAAGTAACACAAACTAATGGCAGAGGGATGAATTGTCTTTATTCAATACTGTGATAAATTGACTTTGTAGAAACAAACACAGAGCTCTGCCTCACATTACTCCCAAGTTCTCTCCCTTTGATCAGAAGTTAAAGAAAAGAGCAGGAGTCACATGTAGATACAATGAGAGCAATTTAATGTTTTAGAGCTCTGGATAGGAAGGGAAACCATGGAAAAATCATAAAGAAAATTTGATAATGCAATAGTATAAAAATGCTAAACTCTAAAAATATTAGGAGCAAACAGAAACAGATAATTATATATTTTTTAAGTATAATAGAAAAGGGGGCTCATATCATTATGAATTAAAGCCCTAATTAAAATCAACTGAGAAAGGGCTGGGGATTTAGCTCAGTGGCACAGCGCCTGTCTGGCAAGTGAGGTCGTGAGTTTGATTCCAGGTACTGGAAAAAAAAAAAAAATCAAGAAAATTGAGGGAAAAAAAAATCACTAAATCTCAGCAGGAAAAAGCAAAAGAAGTGGACAGAAATTCTAAGACTAATTGCAAACTGATAAACATGGGAAATGTTTAACTTACCAGTAATTATAAAAATGTAAATTTAAACCTGGTTTTGTATTGAGTGCTTTTGCTTTATGTTTTATTATAATGCTCTGGGTAAGCAAGAGATGAAATGCTGTTGAGAGCAAGCTGGTTAAGCCTTCCCAGAAACCGTTTGGATATGTATCAAGAGCCTTTAAAAACAGTACACGAGCTTTTATGTCTTGGAATCTATCTGTATTAGTCAGCTTTCTCTTACCTGAGTCACAATCCTTGAAACTCACAGTTTAAAGGAGAGGGTTAATTTGGCTCACAGTTTCAGGGCATTCAGTCAGTGCTGGGCAGACTCCAAAGCAAGACATGGTGGTGAAAGAGTACAGCAGACCAGAGCTGTCCAGCTCATGGTAGGCTAGAAACAGAGCAAGGAAACAGTGCCAGAGAGGAAGAGGCAAGGGACAAGATACAGACCTCAAGGTTATGACTCTATAACCCAGCCAGAAGTATGCTCCCAGAATCCAACAGGGGAATCCCAAAGCCAATCAAATTCATACTCCACCCTAACCACCACATCCCACCCTTGCCAACAAACACATCTCTTCCACCCATACTTAATGTCCAAATAAAGATAGTAAGTTCATAACTTTTGCTAACATAGCAACTGTACTGTGTACAACTGCAAATGTAGCAGTCCCTTTCCCAGCATTTTTCACAAGTCCAAGTCAAAGTCTCTTTTTCTGGGGACAGAAATATAGCTCAGCACCAGGGATATAGCTCAGGGGCACAAGCACCTGCCTGGCAAGCACAAGGTCCTGAGTTCGATTCCCATGCCAAAAAAAAAAAAACAAGAATGTAATTATCTTTTTCTGAGACTCAAGGAAAACTATAAAAATCAAAAACAAGTTGCAGAATTCCAGAATACAAATGGCACAGGGTAAACAACACCATCCCAAAAGAGGGGAATAAGAGGATAGAGAAGAATTGGACCAAAGCAGACAGGGATCCAGCAGGGCAAATATTAAGTCTTGTGGCTCCATATCTGGCACCAGGGTACTCAGTGGTAAAATGTGAGTTCCACAGGGATTGGGTGGCCTCACCCTTATGACCTTGATGGTTGCAGCCCATACAGCCTCCTTTTGAGGTTGGCTCAACTCATGGCCTGGAGCTTTCGTTGGCAGACTTTTCACATTCCTGGCATTCCTGATTTTCTGGGTTTTCTCTGACACTTTTGGCTTCATTCCCATAGCTTCACAAACTGTGCTGTAGAGGCTCCTTGCCTGGCCTTCCAGGCTTTCCTTTGAAATCTAGATAGAAGCCTCCCTGACCTCATAATTCTTGCATTTTGCATGCCAGTAAAACCAGTACCATGTAGATGATATCAACATGTTCCACCAGCTTGAGCAGTATCTGGGCCTCCCTTATACCACAATGAAATAAATCCAGATGAACCAATTCCCAAGCAGACCTTTCTCAAGGAGGCATTCCAGGAAATCCTTTCTCAAATAAAAAGTTTACACTTTTGCATCCTTAAGTCCGTGATGGTTGGGGTCTTGCTGATTTCTGTGATGCTCTCAAGGCCTTTTTTCTTTTTTTTTCTTTTTTTTTTTTTTTTGGTTTTTCTCCGGTACCGGGAACCGAACTCACGACCTTGCACTTGCCAGGCAGGTGCTTTTGCCGCTGAGCTAAGTCCCCAGCCCCAAGGCCTTTTTTCTTGTCCCTACACAAAGCACTCGGATTACTTTCAATCGTGATAATCTCTTATATATGATTCTTTTAGGGCCAAAATTTAAGGTTTTAAAATTTTGCTTCTTTGCTTCTTTGCTCCTGATTCTTACCATAAATCTGGCTAAAGGCAGAGAATATTACCCATACCATGGCTTGAATGTTGTGCTGCTTTAAAATTTCCTTGCCAGATCAATTCGTTTACCACCCTTACTCTTAAATCTCCCACAAGGTCTCAAAAAGTCTTTCTGCCAGGGTATGACACACATGGCCTCTTGTTCAGCTGCTAATCAAGTTCTTATGCCCAACTAAAGCCTCTTGAGCCTGGCCTTCACTGTCTGCATTCCTGTTAGCATTCTCATCTTCTGAGCTCTGACCAGAATTACCCAACAGGCTCTGTCTATAGCATTCTCAGGGTTCTCTAGGTCACATCTCCAAGCCTTCTAAACTCCTCCTGCAAACCAATCCCAAAGGTATCTAAAACACATTATCATGTATAGCCAGAACAATGGCACTGTTATCCTAATAAAACCACATCATGTACCCAAACAGACATTTATGTATATTTATCATGGCATTGCTTAAAATGAAAAAATGGAAACAGTGTAATATAGAAAATTAGAGGAATCATTAAGATGCATTATGTGAAATCATAACAAAAGATATTTTTGAAAAAAATTTTTTAAAAAGGGTGAAAAAAGGGCCAGGGGTATAGTTCAGCAGCATAAACACCAGCTTGGCAAGCGCAAGGTCCTGAGTTCAATTCCTGGTGCCAAAAAAGAAGATAGTTTTGAAGCATTTTTGAGGAAAAAGGAAATAAATCTGACATTAATGAGAAATACTGATAAAATGCAATATGAGGCAATTGTTATTAAAATAGATTTTATTGAACTTTTAAAAAAAACTGTGTAAAATTACATTCAACTACAAGGTCTTAATTTTTTGCTCTGCCCCCCAATGCTACATAGGTTGAGTGCCATCCATATTTCACCCAGCCAAAACTCTTGAAATTTTGCCAACAACATGACATTATTATTGTTGCATTTAGCCCTTTGGGGACTTGTAGGAATCCACGTTGGTAAGTAATGCTGAACAACTCTTCAGAATGTATTTTCTTTGATGTAGGCTATAAAACTAATGAGAATTATTTGATTGGAAAGGCTCTTTGTAGCTGTGTAATCTTAAGGAAGTAATATTTTTCACATAATTATCCATATAAATAAATTAGAATTAATAGTATCTTCCTAACCTGGGTGTTTTAGTGTCAATTACATAAAGTATATGAAGTTATCTATTAATGCCTCATGTGTAGAAAATGCTTAATAAATTCAGTTTAATTATTTGATGCACTTTCTATGCCTATGTTTAAAAATATACTGAACTATTAAATCTGTATTCAGTGGGGACATTTCTGTTATGTGGTCCACAAACTTAAGCAGAAAATTTTCTACTCTGATTCCAAGAGTTGTGCCTCTCCTTCTTCTTCTCCAGCGCTCCTGCCTTTCCCTATTTATGTACTCCTGACCCAGCTTTCATAAAATAACTTTTTTACTCTGAAAGAGTCTGCTATAAAAATTTGCTTCTCTTCTCTTTTCCATTCTAAGAGCAACCATTCATTCAATGAGCTCTTTACATTCAAAAGATGGCTACAGGTGACACCACCTGTCCTGGTAGGTGACCAGGTAAAGAGAGAGGCAGAAGAGACTGATTGATTAACCCTTGGTTCTCATCACTCCAGCCAAATATGATGCCTATTTTGATTTTTTTAAAGGGTGAATGTATCTTCTCCACCTTTGCTAGAGGACACATATTTAAACTCAGTGGCGAAAAAGTACAGTAAGACAGCTGCTCAAGTTGCTTTACGTTTCAACATCCAAAGAGGGGTGGTTGTCATTCCTAAAAGCTTTAATTCAGAAAGAATCAAAGAAAACTTTCAGGTAAGACAACTGCTTTGGAAACTTGGAAACATGGCTCTATTCATTGCGCTACATTCAGAGAATGTTCTTGGAAATTTCAATCACCAATACCTAATACTTTCTCCATAACTTCAACTTCAAATAACCCCCTGCATTAGCAATTATTCTTCTTCAGAACTCCCAACAACAAACTATATAACCTGTAATCTTAAAAAATGAAGTCCAATATACACTTCCTTTCTTCTCCACCCATTTCCACTTCTCTTTCCCTTTATAACAAAACACAGAAAAGAGAAGTCTCTTCTCACTTCCTTCTTCCCCACTCTCTTCTAGACCCACTTAAATCAGGCTTTTACCTTGACCAGCTGAGTACAGCTCTTCTCAACATCACCATGGGTCCTGTCTACAGGACCTTTCAACCAGTTTTAATATAGGCAATGCTCTCTCCTTAAGATATTAACTGTGATGAGAAAGTACAAAAGTTGCAGGATTTGAGGGGGAATATTAGGAGTTCACTTTTGTAATATAAAGTCCACATTCACTTAAGGTAATTTGTGCTATGAAAAAAAGCTCACTGAAAATCAATCTACATAAAATCATTGCATAGATATAAAGGAAAATCATTGCTTAGGTATATTGTAGAGTAGGAATAATTGGAGGTTTATTTTAAAATTGAAACAAAAATTTGTAGAAACATACGTATTTGATTCTCAGCAAAATTTAGTTTCCAATTGCATATATACAGCCTTCTAGAAAAAAGTTAATCAGTGTTGATTTCTTATATGTTTGACAAAATTTTGTGATTACACATGTTATCTTCTATTTTGCAAATATTTTTGCAGAACAATTATGAAGAGAATAATATTGAAAAAAATTGAAGGGCTTTTTTTGAAGGGGATTCGCAATTCTTGAACTTTTTCCAATTATATTTTTTGATACTGAAGTAGATTTTAACCATGTTAAATGCTTTTTTGGGGAAAAAAATGTGTCTGTAATTAGAAGAAATCCCCCAAATCACTCTCACTAACTTTGTGAAATCCTGCATCTTTACAAAATTTCCTTTAGTCTGCCATTTGGCTTAGCTGTGCCTCATGGAAGTAGATGATCAAGCTATCAATTAAGCAAAAAGGAAGTTGGAGTAAGGATTCATTTTTAAGTGATTATTTCATTCATTACTGTGTTTATGTTATATATTTTTGATCCCTTATAATCTCATGAACACCAATACTTGAATGATAAATGATCAAGAAAAAAATTCTCTGAGAAGAGTACTCAGAAATTATCCACAAAACAATTAAGTAATCATACATGATTCATGTTCATGTATGTTCTGAACAGTGATTAAGTGAGTTACCTGCCTATATATTTTGATAGAAAAAGTCAATATTTATTATGTAAATAATGGAAAGTTGCAGAATAATAAAGATATGTCACAAGAGCATCTTTCCTCCAAATGTGTTTAGTATCTGGGAAGGAATATCTGGAAAGGGAAATAAAACAATGGTAGTGAATGATAAGAGGAACTTTCTTCATTTAATCCTTTGTGTATGATTTCTGTACTATTTTACTTCTTTAGAAAGAGCATATACAATGTACCTCAGTTTGCAACTTAATTTGTTTTATGGTTTCGGGAAAGACGGCTACATTTGCATTTGCGTTGGGAAGATGGCTGAGGCTGTGTTTGTCACCTGATGTGGGGTTTGTGAATGGATGCAAAATTTTATCAAAAGCTTTTGTTTGAGAGCCAAATTGTGAACAAAAGCATTCATGAGGTATTACTGTATTTATGAACCACTTGTTTGATTAAAACTTGTAAATCATTAAATATTAAAATGAAGTTAGAAAGATAATAAAGAAAGATATAGAAATGTATAGAAAGGTATATAGAAGGTATAGAAAGATATAGAAGGTATAGAAAGATAATAAAGTAAGAGAAGAATGATAAACAAACTAAATATAACTGAAAAAGTGCTAATAAAGGCCATAGAATAAAATCATAGTGTAAATAAAGTATAAAAACTAGGAAAAAATGCTTATAAGAAAGTATTTGACATTAAAAATGATGAAAGAAAGGATTTCAGAGATAAACTAAAGCAAATTAAAAGTTAAAAATAAACAAATTTAGAAAATGAAAGAAATATTTTTTAAAAGAAAACTATAGGACAGTAGGTAAGCCAGAAATAAAATTCCAGCATCCTATGTGAAAATAACTCTTTACCTTAGAGTTTAAAGTTTCCTAAACACATGTTGTTTCAGAGTATTAAGAATTTCTTGCACGATGTTCCCAACAGAGTTGTCTCAAATACAAAGGGAAAAATACAGTGTTCAACTCCACGTCAGTGGGTGGTCCCTACCACTAGCCCAGTTCTCCTTAGACATCTACAGAGATGACCACCCTCATCTACAGAGATGAGCACTTTGAAGTGCTCCCACTGCTGAATCCCCTCTGGTCCCAATATTGCTCACTTTCTACCTTCAAAATTGTTCTGTCTTTTATTTCCGTTATTTCAGATCTTTGACTTTTCTCTCACTGAAGAAGAAATGACAAACATTGAAGCCTTGAATAAAAATATCCGCTTTGTGGAACTGCTTATGTAAGTTCTGGAGGACCACTGATTGGGTATTGCCCTGAGGTATTAGATTGTCAAATGTCAGCCATGAAGGATTCTATGAAGGAAGCTGATCTATGTTCATGGGAAGTGCCAGGATAAAGTGTGGGCAGCACTTTCTGAATATTAAATATGCCTGGGTATAACACACCTACTAGAGGAACCTACACTACACTTCCACTTGAAAAAGCTTAACATTTATGACATTCCCTGACTTAGATTGAGACATAGTAGACTAAAAACCCTGAAGAGAATTAACTCAATGTGTGTATACATATATATATATATGTATATTTGAAGTAACATGATTTTTTCTCCCCAAAACTCAAAGTGATGTGCAAATTTATGAAAAATATTTCTGGGAGAGAAACATGATAATTTAGACAGAGCACCAAGTTGAGAAAGAACCTAGCATTACAAAAACTTTCTTGTTTGTAAGATGTAAAGATTCTAGTTCCCCCTACTAACTGACTTCTCAGAGCAGAATTTTTTTACTTCTTCGAGGTGTGCCAAATAACCAGCTGAAGTATCCTTTCATTCTCTGAATATTGCAGGTCTTTTAAAAATAAAATAATATTAAACTAGGTCTATAGCTCAGTGGCAGAGTGCTTGCGTAGCCTGTGTGAAGCCCTAGGTTTAATCTCCACCACCAAAACTTAAAAATAATATAGTTTATACACATACAGACAAATATATATTTATATACCCACACATATTTTTCTTCTTCATCAGTCTCCATTAATCTCTCCAATTCATCAAATCACCTTTATAATTTTTTTTACAATCTTCTCTTCAAGAGAACATTTAGGAAAAGCTTATTAAAGTTATCCATAGGGGTTGGAGATTTAGCTCAGTGGCACAGTGCTTGCCTGGCAAGCGCAAGGTCATGAGTTCAATTCCTGGTACCGGAAAAAAACCAAAAAAAAGTGGAAAAAAAAAAGTTATCCATAGAGTTTAGACATTTATTGATCTATTTCTATGGCTAGAATACACACATTCCAGACTCTTAGAGGGTCATTGACTATTGTTATGTAAAAGATAAAGTTATCATTGTCATCATTATCCCAAGTAATATTACTTTGCACACAAAGATAAGGAAGCAAGATTCACATCCAGCGTTTTGTTTTAGGTAAAATGCTGGTACACAGCAACTGACCTTTCCATACCCTACCACACACACTCACTCACATCCAAGGTGCTCTCCAGAGCTGAAGAAACACAGGGAAAGGGAGGATAGTGCGTGAGAAACAAAACACAAATAAGTGAAAGGTGAATGTTGTCAATGACGTGATCAAAGGATGCTAGTAATAGAGTAACTGTGCCACTTATGGAGTAAACTGATCCCTTTTGTTTTGGCAGGTGGAGAGATCATCCCGATTACCCATTTTTTGATGAATACTGACTTCAGAGAGTTCAATTGATTTTTCTCTCTACATCAAGACCCTGTGCTGCGTAGTTCCCACAGAAGAGGCAACAAAAAGTGTTTTACTATCTTTAGAGAAACTAGTGATGGAAACATGTCACACTTAACTTCTGTGTAGTGTAAGTGCCTTCCTCTTAGCTACTTTAAAGAACAAAACATTTAAATGTATTGAAATAACTCTTTAGAAATTATCTACTAATTTTTCTACATCTATGTTTTCTACCGTTGAGTATAGACAAAAACACATTAAGGTTTACAAAATACTTCAGACACAGTATATAAAGTCAAACAACTCATAAATATAGTTACTGTCATTGAAAGTCTGAGTTCTTCAGCACTAGAAAAGGCAACAAAGGGCGTAGAGAGATGACATGCACCAGGGTGCGTGTAGAGGTCTTAACAGTTTGTATCAGTTTGTATCAATGAATGCAATACTGACACAGCCAAAATAAGATCTGCACTTGCATTATTAACAAGGAAGTTATTTGCTATACCATAAGTAGAGAAAGAGGGTGAAATGTAGAAAGGCTTTATAAGGGAGCTAAAGAAACACAATGGTCAGCAAAGATATAATGAATATCATTCCTGAGAACTATTTTGTTCAGCTGAGGCCTTGGGCCATATTAAATAGTTCTGTTAAGGATGTCATTTAAAGTGGTAGAGGCTGGGGATACAGCTCAGTGGCATCAGCACCTGCCTGGCAAGCACAAGGTAGTGAATTCGACCCCCTGTACTGCAAGAAATAAAATAAAATAAAGTGGTGGAAACTTCAACTACATACTGTTAGTTTAACCACTATGGTGCTGAAGACTGACTCACTAAAGTCACCCTTACAAGTACTTCATGCCTATGTGACCAACTCTAATTAAAAAACTGGACCTCAATCATTACTGGGATAATTAAATACTGCCTATACAACTCTATCAGAAGAAAATAACCAAACAGTTGTCCTGGTGTCCCACCTGGACTCTTCCCTATGTTCCTTTCAGTGTGGCTAATTTTAATCTGTATCTTTTTCTATAATAAGTAATAACTATAAATGTAACAGATTTCTTAATTTTGTGAGTCTTTCCAATAAATCATTGAACCTGAGGGTGGTCTTGTATACTCCTTACTATAAATACTTAAAGTAAAATCAAATAAAATGAAAGGACTTCCCTGGGAACTAGACAGTCCTTGGAGAAGCCTGTGAGACTAGCAGTCCCCAAAATTTTGGTACGAGGGATTGGTTATTTGGAAGACTAATCTTTTATAAACAGGATGATGGCTTGGGGATGGTTCAAGCACATTACGATTATTATCTCCTTTTCTCTATTGTTCATTACACTGTGATATATAATGAAATAAGTCTACAACTCAGCATAAAGCAGAATCAATGGGAGTCCTGAGCTTGTTTGCCTGCAATTAGATGGTCCCATCTGGGGTGATGGGAGACAGTGACACCTGAAGTGTGTTGCTTATGTCCAGTCTACTCTAATTGTTTCAGTTGATGTTGCTACAGAATATCCTGCTTCACAAACACAGGATGCTGGAAATGGAAGTAGGTTTTCAGTGTTTTGCTGCAATCTCAGGATATTCCACCTAGATATTAATCCAGAACATCTCAAACATCTGAATTTGTGTCAAACATACTTTTAAAGCCATCATCACTTGCAATCTCAGGCAGCTGATACTCTCCTAGCATGGACAAAGTTGATTCATCAGGCTTATTCACAAATGGGTCATGGAACCATTCCTTCCCAGTTCAGGGGTCCTTTGTGATTGGGAAGTACTGTCAAATTCTGTTGAAAATTGAGATAGGTGACCATCCTTTACTTCAACCCTATTTACAGAGGTATACAAAGTTGGCTATATGGAAGCTGATATTCCCTTATTTGGCTAAAAGAATGTGATAGGGTCTAGCTGAGGCACCCAAGTGTCTCAGCATGGCAAAGCAGCAGTGCATGAGTGAGAATTGCCCTCTCAGCAGCTGGAATGGAGGCTCAAGCAAGAGCCTGTGGAATTCCAGGGCTAAGACATGAGAGAGCATCTCTGCTGAGGCCATGAGACTCAAAAAAATATACACCTTCACAGTAGTAAAGGTGCTAGGTCTCCAAACATCAAATTATCATCACACCACTAAGTGGGGAGCCTCTGTGCCTGGTACGAGAGTGCTTTGTTCCTCCTTTACAAGCCATGCCTGCAAAGTTTTTCTTCCCATACACACCGCCACAACTCCCACCCACCTCTTTGAATGGTACCAATAAACGCCATGGTCTCTCTAACTGTTGGGCCTTTGCCCCACTGTGAGCAATTGGTCATCCCAGAGCCCCAAGAACTACAACTCTCTCTCCCTTTGTATCTTTTCATCCATGTGCCACACTTCCAGGTGGGAGACTGAACCTTCTGTGGAGGTTCTGGTATCTCATCAAGTGACAAATGCAGTTCATTGATCAGGTGGAATATGTCAAATGAATAAGCTAGTTTTTTAACCCATCCTCTATTGCTAGTGGTAACTGTTTTAAAAAATCACTATAGCAGTTCTTGTAACTGAAAAGCTCAGACCAGTGATCTACCTCTAGAAAGTCCCATTTCTGTGTATAAGTGAAGACATGTATGCTGTGTGTTCATCCCATCACAGAGCTGCTTGAACAGATGTGAATTAAAGCAAGTATTTCACTGTGTTATGGTGCCAGCCCAAAGTGAAGCATGTGCCACTTTTTGAATGGCAGCCTCTCCTAACAGTTTAAGGCAAATAGTCTTTGCTTAGCACAGGTGAAACTGCTTTTCACCAATTGTAAAGGACCCCTTAGCTTTAACAATGCAGTTAACCACCAAGACTGCTGCTGTCAGTGCAGAAACATTTAATTAAGTGGTGGCTTTCAATAAACACTTCTGTTCTTTATGTCCACTCTTTTTTCATTCAACAAATATTTATTTGACTGATTGCACACGTGTGTAGTACATGTTTACATTCCTTGCGTGGAGTTGGTGTATGTACCTAATGTATTTTAATTCCTTTTCTTGTTACCTTTCAGTTCCCTCACTCCCTGCTCCAACCATCGCTTTTTTGCCCCACATCAGATCTGTTTATTTTTAAAATTTTTATCAAGTTAATTATAATAAACACAGATTAATAACCAAAGTAAAAAAACAAAAACATATGAAACACATGAAACAATTCCACAAAATTAAGGTACACGCAAAAAATTAAGGTACACTTCTAGATACATTGGCCACAATGAATTATAATTTCATTCTGAAAAGCTTCAGAGGTTTGTCTGGTACTTGGTTTCAATGTGGTGAAGCATTTTAAAGGCTTCATGGCTTTACTGGGTAGCCAGTCATCACACATCACACAAAATAAGTTTGGAGACTGTGGATAATGTACTGCAATAAGCCCATAATTTAAATAGGACTCTTGGTATTATTTTTCTATGCATCTTTCTTTTTGCTAGTGGTCTTGGTGTCTTCTGAAGTCTTGACAGGGCTAAAGTGACTCCATTTTGTTTCTGGCATCCATCTTAGAAGTCTCTGAAACTCTAGATGAACTTACTCCTCATCCCTCCCTTTGAGCTAACCATAAAATCCACAAAGGAGGAGCAAATCATTAACTAAAGGAAAAAACAGTTGGGACAAACTGTGGAGTAAGCTAAACTTTAATCCTGCTTGACTAACTAAAATTATGGGAAATGTAAACCTTGTAACATCCTTGTCAGATTCCAAAGCAAAGTAATATGGTTACCATGGTTACTTGACGATGTTTAAGCACTCAGTACAAATTTCTCTGGGGGTCAGCACTTCTGACTGGCTACAGTTGGGTGCCATCAGCTAGCACCAATAAAGCCTGCTTGTATCTATTCTTGGCCTCTGTGAGTGTTTCTAGTGATCAGGCAGAACAATTAGCTCCAGTGAAATCCTCATGTGGAAAGCCCTCGTTTTAAGATGCCCTGTGCCTCCTGGCCTTGCTAGTTGACCTCTGAGAGGCAGGGCACCCCAGCTGATTTCAGCTGGCCACCTGGGATGACTGTGGGGCAGGATGCTGTGTCTGCAAGACAGAACAAATGGGCCCCACTTCCTGACCTAGGTAAGCATTTGGCAATTTGGTTTCATTTTTTGGGTTTATCCACGGACTTGTCTCTTTGGACCAATTTTGGCTAAATGCCCCACCACCAGGCATGGTGGATTTTTAGTCTTGGTGTGCCAGGAATTTGACCATAGCTGGTCTCTGAATTTGATCAGAGCTTGTCTCTGAATTTGGTCATTGCTGGTCTCTAAAACTGTTCCAAACCATCAGTTGGGAATGGTAAAATAATCCCTGGGACTGTTTTGTTTGTCTGTGTGTGTTTTGTGTCTTCCCAAATGCACCTGCAATTTCAGATTACAGCCAAATTTGTCACCTGGCTTGGAGGACTGGTGGTCACCTGCTTTTGCCTTTCTTGCCTCTCACAGTTCTGCACTTGGAGATTCCAGAGGATGCGGCCTGTCTGCCACACATCATTGCAGGAACAGCCAAATTCTCATACTTCGTTAGCCTAGGACTCTTGCTTGTACTGCGGGTTGAGTAGGGAAGGGAAGACTTGCCGAAGTAGGCTGCTGTTCTTTTGTTCTAAATCAAGCTGCTATGGGCTCAGCAGGCAGCAAGCCAACCATTCTGGACTGCACAATTAAGAATTTTGACAGATTTAAAGGTGATTATGGGGTGAAGATGAAGCTGAGAAAGCCCCACACTTTGTGTGAATTAGAATGGCCTTCTTTTGAAGTAGGATGGCCGGTGGAGGGGATGCTCAATCCTCAAGGATCCAGTAGGGTGTAGGATGTTGTTACCAGAGAACCTGGACACACGGATCCGTTCCCATATGTAGACTCCTGGCTGCATGTAGTTTGGGCATTACCCCAATGCTTAGGATGTGTGCTTGTGGATTTCCTGACAGAGTTCAGGTGATAAAAGAGAGGTCCTCAAACCAAAAAGCCCCTATGCTGCCCTCAGTCCCCAAGGAAGATAATTCCACAACCTTAGCTCCTTCTGTACTACCACCACCCTATCCTGTCTCACATCCTCCTTGCTGCACCAGCTGGCAACCCTCTTCAGAACCTATGGCAGACTCCACCTCACCAGATGAGGGAATATCTTCCTCAGACCCAGTCCCTGTTCTGCCCCTCCAGCAGATGGCCCTGCCAGGGGCAGGAGGACATGTTCAGACTGTCTTAGTTTATGTTCCTTTTAGCATTAATGACTTAAAAAATTGGAGGACTCAAAAATCATCATTTTTCCGAGCATCTTCAGGCTCTGATTACCTTGCTGAAGTCAGTGTTCAAAACTCACCACCCCACCTGGGATGACTGTCAACAGATATTGCTAACCCTATTTTCTTCAGAGGAAAGAGAAAGAATTTGGAAAGCAGCGGAGGATCAAGTGAGATTAGACACTGTGGGAACTGAGCAGGACAAAACAGAGGCAGTGGCTCACATTAGGCCCCAACCGTCACCTAACTGGGACCCAAACACCAAAGCAGGGGCACAGTGACTGGAAGCCCACCATCAGGCCTTGAGAACAGGGCTATTTGCAGCTGCCCACTGCCCCACTAATCTAAATAAGGTGGCAGAAGTGCATCAGGGACCAACTGAAAGCCCCACTATATTCCTTGAAAGCCTTCTGCAGGTTTATCAAACATACACTGTGTTTAATCCACAGGCACCAGAGAATGCCTGTACTGATAATATGGCCTTTGTTACCCAGTTGGCCCCCGATATACATTGCAAGTTGCAGAAACTGGATGGATTTGCAGGAGTGGCCATGATGCAGTTGACTGAGGTAGCTCAGGAGGTGTATCATAATAGAAAGGAAAAAAGGTGGAAACTTCTGGAAGAGCAAACAAAGGTGTTGATGGCAGCTTACAAGGGAGTGACTCAGCCAGGGACTGGAGGAAAGAGGGAGAAAGAAAAACAGCCTCAACAAAGAGGATGCTGCTGTTCTATAGATCTGGATCAGTGTGCCTATTGCAAGGGAAAGGTACATTTCGAGCAAGAATGTCTGAAGCCTCTACAGAAAGAAAAAAGGAAGTGCTTGTGATGGATTCAGGGCAAGTTTCAGAATGACAGGGTCATAGGTC